ACCGAGTCTATTAGATATAATTACACTGTAAATCTTTTCTATATTGTCCCCAGTATAGCCCTCTCTGGTGACAACACGCTGACCTATCTCCGATATATTTCACCATATAATACGTTTATAGGCAGATGGGAGAAATAATGTGTGTAATATTGTGGTGGCAATAAGCATCCAACAATATACACTCCATCATTAGGAGCCGGATATTAGGGACACTTCCAGCTATCAGTAACATTGCTTGTTATAAAAAAAAAAAAGATGGTGAACTATGAATTCTTCCTCAAAGGGTCACAGAACACATCTTAAAGTGGTTACTGCGAGAGTTTTGTTAAAGGAGAACTATGGGGTTAAGGCTTTTCCCCATAGTTCTCCTTAGGGTAACGGGAGGACACAAACTAGCGTCCTCCCGTCACCCTAGGCTCAGTATATAGGGAGCTACAGCTCGAGGTCTACTGAGACGTCGCAGCGGATCCCGACAATTGTGCCGGGATCCGCCCAGCTGCGTGACTGACAGCTGGCTCCTCCTATCTAAAGGCAGAGCCAGCTGTACCCGCCCCTTCTTTTCCGCCAGTCAGCGCTGGAGGATCGGAGCGGGGAGGGGGGAATCCAGACCCTCCCCTGTCATGGCAGAGATCCGTGACAGGATCGAGAGGTGAGCGAACGCCGGTATGTGTTCCCTCACCTCCCGATCTACTAACAGTAAATGAGAACTTTAGGAGATTAGGAGAAGAGGCGGAATAATGGGAATTCATATTTACTGACACAACGATGTCTTCCTGATCATAATAGAAAGTTACAAATGCTTTTTTTATGCCTAACGTGGCAAGTAACAGAAAGCTGTACAGCAAAGGTACATAGTATTTGAGGTTGAATAAAGACACGGGTCCATCAAGTTCACACAAAGTGAGACACAAAAGCCAAAATGTCTCCATTTTTACAGTACATTACATGGCCAAAGGTTTGTGTACGCCAGATCATCACATCTATCGGAGCCTGTTGGACATCCCATTCCAAAGCCATTGCAATTATGGACTTGGCTCAAAGAGCTTTGTGAGGTCAGGTACTAATGTTGGAGGAGAAGACCGGTGTTCTATCGAAAGCTCCAACTCCTCGGGTTCTCCAACTGCCTGACTTCCGGTTTCGTTAGAACTAAGAGGTTTGGCCAACAAATCTCTTCTGCACAAGCGCCAGCCGCGGCATTGCCCTATACACATACACCACAGCAATGAACTATTCAAATGAACAAGGATCACACTAATCCAGCACGTTATTAATCTCAGGTGCCCCACTCAATATGGCCGCCGCTTAAGTGGGACACCTTGGATTAATAACGTGCTGGATGAGTGTGATCCTACTTCATTTGAATACTTCATTGCTGTGGCGTGTGTGTGTATAGGGCAATGCTGCGGCTGGCGCTCGTGCAGAAGAGCCTTCTCGGCCAAACCTCTTAGTTCTAACGAAACCGGAAGTCAGGCAGTTGGAGAACCCGAGGAGTTGGAGCTTTCGATAGAACACCGGCAGTTCCTACTTCAAACTCAGAGAAAAAGCTAACAGCGAAATACGATGAAGCGGGGGCAATACCAGAAGCAATTTACTTTGATGGGTTTTGTAATTAGACTCCATGGTCTTTAGAGAAGTGCGGCAATCTAAAGATGTTATATAAAGAGGCGTCTTGCTCCCCGACTATAACATAAGTAACATGTTATGTTTCATCCTCCTTGTATCAATTAAAAGTAGGTATTAAAGGAGAACTATGGGGTCAGGGCTTTTCCCCATAGTTCTCCTTAGGGTAACGGGAGGACACAAACTAGCGTCCTCCCGTCACCCTAGGCTCAGTATATAGGGAGCTACAGCTCGTGGTATACTGAGACGCCGTAGCCGGAGCGGATCCCGACATTGATGTCGAGATCCGCCCCGCTGCGTGAGTGACAGCTGGCTCTGCCTATCTAGAGGCAGAACCAGCTGTACCCGCCCCATCCGTTCCGCCAGTCAGCGCTGGAGGATCGGAGCGGGGAGGGGGGAATCCAGCCCCTCCCCTGTCACGGCAGAGAGCCGTGACAGGATCGAGAAGTGAGCGAACACCGGTATGTGTTCCCTCACCTCCCGATCTACTGAGCCGACCTGTGACAGTCTCATTGTCACAGGGCGGCTAGATTGGGGGGGGAAACTGC